TGTAAGGTATTGCATGATGCCATGTAATAGCTGCACAGTTTGCTGAAATGCCACATGACACATCCTCTTGGTTACCTGAAAGATCAGAAAAAGAACACAATTTTCAATGTTTGGCAGTAAAAAAAATCCCTTGAATGCTACTTCAAGGAGATTTTCAAAGGTTGACATGTATTACATGACCTGCTTACAGTGTAAGTCTGTAAATAGGACACGGTTGTAGCATACGTCTGCAAAGGAACCCACCTGATTTTGCTCTGTTAACGTAAATCGCAAAAAAAAAAAAGAATTTGACAGATTCCTTTACAGACTGTGGTTTTCTGATGCCTAATGGCTTTGATTCAGATCCAGCAATGTATCTCCTGGAAGTTGATTGTAGTCTGTCAGACCAAAATGCTGCAGTGTAACATGAATTAATAAATAAGGAGGCATGTAGTGAGAAACAAAGAAGATTATAAACTTGAAATACACCACTTCTCAAGCCCTGTATTGCTTTAATGCAAAGAGGTGGACTGGTCATGTGGAAAATTAGGAAATTCCTTGAGTGCTCTACTATGTGGATCCAAAATTCCTTACTATTAGTGCCTGTCTTTTCCCCTGGGAATGCAGAGGGACACCTACCCTATCAGAAGAACCAGTCTAACCCTGTCCATTGTGCATAATCTTCCTGTAGTGAAAGGATCTAAGGACTCCTGGAAGAGTTCATAGTCTCTTTCTGACTGTTGGGTGTCGACTTGCTGCAATTACGTCAGCCTTACTTTTGGTCACCAGTCCTGCACATGCAGAAGCAGTTTGTGCTTGCACCTGAACTTTGGAGAGCCACCTACAGAGGAAATGGGAATTGGGGCTTACTGAAGTTGTTACCTTACTGGTACCTGAAGCTACTTCCTGTCTGCCTTGCCTGAGCCTTCCCTTGTGCTGAAAGCTGCTTGTTGCCTTTTTTGTCTGAGTCTGATACTGCTGCATCATTCTGGTCTCTGAAGCTGCTTGCTGCTCGGATTTTGATGCCATTGGCTGTGCTTTTATTATATAGGTGACCTCTGTATTAATTTATAGTGTTGTAAGTACCTGTGTTAATAGTTAACGTCAATAGTAATTCATAGCAGTGTTGCTGGAAATCACTATTTGTGCTTGTGTGTCATAGTAAGTGCATGTTAACCTTTATGGAAATCCCTGGTAGGCATTTGTGGAGTTGGTGAATTGTTTCCTTGCAATTTACGGTGATACACGTAAGCTGATTGTGGATTTAGTGCTGCTTTAATCTTGGTAGTGATGTGTGGCTTCCTAACAGATGCACTATTGTGATTCATGCTTCAGGCAAGACAAACTGCAAGCAGCTTCATGGTTTACAGGCTTCAGGTTTCAGGTAAGCCAGAGAAACAAGGACATTTCAGACTGAAAGGTTAGCAAAGCAACGTTTCCTCTGCATCCTGTTCTCTGAAGACCAGGCATATGCCTGGGTGCATGTGCAGTTTTGGAGGAGGTGTGCATACACAAAATGGCTGATACATCCCTTGCAATCACTCCGCCAAATTTTAGCAAATTTTTGGTTGTGGAATTGTTAGTCAACATAGAACATGCTTCAGAAACCTATCTCAGTCATCACCCCCACAAACTGAATATTGGGCTGGTAAAGATGGTTCTCTATATGTTGAGACAGAACTCACAACCGATAACAGGTAGGACTTGAAAAAAAAATCTTGTAAAGAGTTTTCAGATGCATTATGACAATTTTTGTAGAACACTTTGAAAAAGATGAGATTATAAAAGACCCACTAATGATTTTTTAAGCAAGTCATACATTTTTTATTAAACCTTTTGATTTTTAAATGTATGTTGATTTAATAGGTGGTATAGGTGATGGGGTTGGCTTGTCTGGCACTCTTTTAGGCCCCATAAAAATACTGTGGGCTGGGTGTGTGAAGGATGTGGCTTGCACAGCAGCAGCCCACAGTAGTTTTTTTTAAATAATCCGTGTTATCTTGAACTTGCTTCTTAAACATTTGTGTGTTGAACAAGAACTAAGAAGTGACACCAGAGTTGCCTTCTGCCAGGTGGGTGTGCTGGTGAAATATGTACAATATTATTTATATTTTGGATACTAGCATGTTACCTCAAAACATTAGCTTCTTACTCAATCTTGCAGTGTTAATGGCTTGTTTAATGCAATTAAACTAAAGTCATTAAACAGGTGAGTTATTATACATGAGATACAAAACAATAGTTTTAGACCAGATTATCTTAAGATAAAATTTACTTATTGTGCTATTATAAGTAATCTAGGCATTACCATTTTAAAATACAAAAGAAACAATATTTACTTCTCACGAGCATTAGCAATAAAATTAAACACAGATTATAAACAAAGTAATCTCTGATCCACAATTTTACAATTTTTTCCTGCATTTTGCTTGATCACCCCCAGCAAAGTATAAAAAAGATATCATTTTAGGTGTGGGCTCTAGGTTCCCTCTTCTTTTCGATACCAACATGGACGGGAGCTTATTTTTGGCCCATAATGATCAAAAGCTACTTCCCTGTTATATTGGAGGCTTAGTGAGTTGTGCAATCAATTTTCTAGGCCAGTTTGCTTAGTGTCTCATTGGTGCTACACTTGTTAATATTTAAGGGATAAAGAGAGCGAGGGGTAGATATGATACAATATAAACCTTAATAGGGGTGTGGTTTGCTATGTTCTGATGCATCTGTGGAACCTGGTTTAAATGCAACCCTTATGTAGGAGAACATGCAAAGAATGGCACAGAAGATGGTCAGTTGCTCCAACCAATCCATGCTATTGGTTACACTCCAGTTGATCTTGCATCCACCTTTTCTGTAATTTTGTCGCTATCTATTCCCGTCCCCCTCAAATGACTTTGAACTTCCCCTAAAATATATCTGTACTGTTTGCTTCAACTGTGGCAGCACATTCTCATTGGGTAATAAAGCTTCTTTTGAATTTTATGTTGGATTTCTTGGTGACTATCTTAAATCAATGGCTTCTAGATACCCTCTTGTCCATGAGTGGATACATTCTTTCTGTATTCACGTTTTTCAAAATCATTCATGATTTACAAAAAAACTTTAACTATGTTAGGCCTCCCTGTTTTTTTCCAAGTGCAAATAGATCCACCCTGTCATCCATTTCTGATACAGATATCTAAAGATTTTTGTTAGCATCTTTGAATATCCTCTGTCCCTCCTGTACTGCCTTTGTAACCTTATTATGGTGTAGTGACCAGAATAATGTAATACTCCAAATATAGTCTAACCAAGGTTTGATATAGTTTTAGCCATAATTTTTCAATTCTATTCCTCCAGAAATAAAGCCTAATGCTTGCATTGCTGTAATTATGACCTTGAATGCATGTAACTTAATATTTAACGATTGCTGGCTTTGTTTTCTGAGATCCCTTTGTTCCTCTGACCAACCTAGACCAGCATCTTTAAATAAGAAGTGATTTTCTTATTGTTATTATTAAAATAACTTTATTTGCCAATTATTTCCCATTCAGCAATTTTCATAATATATTCTTATAATTTGCTGTGGTCTTCTTCAGTAGTGAATATTCCTCCATTTAGAATTATCTGCAAATTTAACAATTGTGTTTTTGATTACAAAATCCAAATTGTTAACGTAAATTGCAAACAATTGTAGTCCTTGCACTGTTCCTTGTTGGAAACCACTTCCTACCTTCGGCTGTTCTCACTCTCTGTCTTCTGTCTTGAAACCAACTAGCGATTTATTCTGCCACCTATCCTATGACTCCATATTTGCCAACATTTTTATTGAAATGTTTAACCATGGAGTATAACTAGGATTCAATTTATTCTCTCATTTTAGTGAAATACATTTTCCCCACACTCAGTTGAACATTGTTTTAAATGTTTCCCCTTATTGTTTTGCATTTTTGTTTGCCAATGTAGCTCCCTGTTTTATTTTCCAAGTTCTATCCTAAATCCCTCAAAATCAATTTTAGTAACTTGATTTTCATCATACTTATGCCTTTCTCTACTATGATCTGCAAACATATAATATTATGGTCATTGTTGCCTAGCAGTTCCTCTACTTTTACCTCTCTTAATTCCCCATTAATGGAACTGAAGTGGGAGTTCAATCACCCAATTCATCTGCAGTGATCAGACAGGGCAAGTTCGTTTTTCATTGGTTTATTTAGGCATATGTGTAGGGGTTGGAATGTATCTTACGATCTTGCACAGGTTCCTCCAATCAGTTCCACTTTGTTGCTATTATATATATCCGATTGTTGTAGTTCATTTGTGTCTACCAATCACAGATTAATATAGGTTATCACTGCTCCACAAAGAGAGCTCTTAAAAAGTTATTGCTAATTAAAGCAAGTTTTTAAATCATTTTGGACTGATCATCTTAAAAAAAGATTGACTTCTATCACCATTGATCAGATTAATAAATTCGGAGCAGATCAGATCCTAATGTAGCAGGCTTGTTAGCTCAGTTGGCTGATTTGTGATGCAGAGTGATGCCAGCAGTGCAGGCTCAATTTGTGCATCAACTGAGGTTAGTATGAAGGACTTTCCTTCTCAACCTCTCCTCTCACCTGTGGTGTGGTGACCCTCAAGTTAAACCAGCACAAGTTGTCTGTCTCTTTCTTACTGGAGAGCAGCCCTATCATTGTTGTACCTGTAGATTAAGGGGAGTAACACAAAAAATTGCATTGCAAAATGAGGCTTATACTTCAAATGTTTTTAATGCAGTAAGTATCATGAGAAGTAAAATGTTATGTATATTTTATTTATTGACATGCACCCTGCTTTGAAGCTGCCTTTTCACGCATTTTCATCCCATTTTTATAAATGAGCTTCCTTGTTCACAGCAGTGATATGCCTGAAATTACAGAGCTCATTATCGCATGAGGTAATGTTTGGCTAAGAACACATTTTGAATAAATATCTGGTTTACTGCAGTCCTGTAAAAACATATATTTTCTACTGATTTCACTTATTTCCTTGTGACATTGCAGCTCAGCCTCCGTATACCATGTGTTTTAGAGTGAAGTTCTATCCTAGTGAACCTGTGAAAGTCAAAGAAGAGCTCACCAGGTACTTCTGTTCTCTTATGAAAGCGAAACTGTAGAATTTGAAAAAGTGCATATTTGTTTTTAAATCAATCATTTGAACTTGGGTTGCTGAAATGTGTCTAATGTTATGTATATGGACTTTTAAAAGGCATTTGATGAAGTACCAGATAATAGACTTGTTATAAAAATTAATGTCCATGGTGTGGGCTAGCAGCCAGTCTCCCTGTCCAGAAAATAGTAACCTCCAGTCCTTCCACCTTGCATGGTCTTTAAAACCTTTTGTAAGGTCAGCCAAAGCCCACACTGAACTGGATCCTTTGAGGAGCAGAAGTCCTACCTTATTCTAATTTGTTCCACCCACAGCATGCCATAGCTGTGTGCAGGCTTCTTTCAAGCCTTTTGGCTAACTATTAACTTTCCTCCTGGAGGGTCAAACTGAACATTGTGACCCCTCCTCCCTTCACCTCACCAAAGTTTTAAATTTCAGACCCGGACATACATATGTGGCGCAATTTCAAAGTTTGTAGGTGGGATAGATCTTAGAAATATGATAAGCAGTGAGGAGAACACACTTTATGAAGACATGCTGGATGAATTTCAATGCAGAGAAGTGATACAATTCGATACCAAGAATGAGGAAGACAATATAACTAAGTGATCCAATTTTAAAGGGGTTGTAGGAGAAGGGCCATCATTTATGTATAAATCTCTGAAAATGATACAGCAAATTGAGACTGCTCTTTAAAAGTACATCCAGGATTCTTGACTTTATTAGAGTCAGAGGTATACAGCACGGAAACAGGCTCTTCGGTCCAACTTGTCCATGCTGACCAGATATCTTAAATCTAAATCCACCCCATTTACCAGCATTTGGCCCATATCCCTCTAAACCCTTCCTATTCACATAACCATTCAGGTGCCTTTTAAATGTTGTAATCATACCAGCCTCCACACTTCCTCTGGCAGCTCATTTCATACATACACAACCCTCTCTGTGAAAAAGTTGCCCCTTTGGTTCCTTTTAAATCTTACCCCTCTCACTTGAAACCTATGCCCTCTATTTTTGGACACCCCACCCCAGGGAAAAGACCTTGCCTATTTACCTTGTCCAAGCCCCTCATGATTTTATAAATCTCTATAAGGTTACCCCTCAGCCTCCGACACTCCAGGGAAAATAGCCCCAGCCTATTTGGCCTCTCCCGTAGCTCAAACCCTCCAAGCCCCAGCAACATCCTCGTAGATCTTTTCTGAACCCTTTCAAGTTTCACAACATCCTTCCTATAGGAGGGAGACCAGAATTGCACCCAATACACAAACAGTGGCCGAACCAATGTCCTGTACAGCCGCCACACGAATCCCCCCCACCCAACTCATAATCAATGCACTGACCAATAAAGGCAAGCATATCCAATGCTGCCTTCACCATCCTATCTGCCTGTGCCTCCACTTTCAAGGAACTATGAACCCTCACTCCAATGTCTCTTTATTTAGCAACACTCTCCAGGACATAACCATTAAGAAATAGCGCCAGATTTTAAACTTGGAGGCAGGAATTAGGAGGTGGGCAATTCCCAATGTTCTGATTAATATCCTCCGTTGCTATTTGCATGGTGGAGTGGCTGAGGTGACTGTAGTCAGGCCCACTGACTGTAGAGGGAGGCAGTTGCTGCCCATCCACCAACAGGACTCCAGTTGGCCTTTCTTGCTAACCTGAGTTGAATGAGGAGCAGTATGTGATTCAAGTTATTTTATCTATCTCACTGACTACTTTAGGTTGTTGTTATTGTTGTTGTTGTAGATCTGAGCATGTACTCGGAATCATTGATTATGTTACTAGTTCTGACTGTCTATTACTGATCCCAGTCTCTCAATGGAGGAGGCCACATGTTCAGAAGAGAGGGAGACTGCTTGGTCTGAAAGGACTCCTCAACTATCATTCCTACTGTGTATATATTATCCTTAGGAAGCACTAATAGATCTTCATATACCTACTGATCATTCAATATCAGCAACCTCAAGGATGAGTCCAGAGTCTTGTCATCTGCCTGCTGCACTGCATCTTCTTGGTTTCTGACACTTCTCTGAAGATCAGAGGTCTAGATTGCCACAGCTTCTGACACCTTGGCCATTGTTGGTAGTTGCTATTAGAAGTTTGGTTGATGCATGCATACTAACTGAAGTACTGGACTCTGAGCTGGTGCCAAGTATGTAGAAAGATGTAATGACGTATTCTTTGAGATCCTGTCCTCTTCCTGAGAGGTCAGTGCCTGTATGTTTGGAAATGGTATCTGTTAGGACTGATGAGTGAATTTGTTGAATTGTTCGCTGAGCTGGTGAGTGAATTGCTAAAGGAATAACTCAAATGAACGCAACTCAATATGAGCAGGAATACTATACCAAAATTGCTGCATCTTTACAGGAGATGTACAACATACCAAGTGGGTCACAGAGGTAGCCATTTGCGCCCATTGAAGCTCATAAGCTCATCCCATCCCCTGTCTAATTCAATTGCCCTTGCCCTCACCCTCATTGTCAATAGAGAGTAATTGTTATGAGACCATGTAACTGTATAGGACCAGGTGAGCCACTTCCGTCCACACCGCCTACTTGTATTCCTTCTATTCACTCAAGGAATGTGGGCATCACTGGTTAAACCAGTATTTATTGTCCATCCCTAGTTGCTCTTGAGAAATTGATGGTGAGCAGATTTCTTAAACCGTGGCTGTTCATGTGCTGTAGCCAGACCCACAATGTCCTTGGGAGAGAATTCCAAAATTTTGACCCAATGACACTGAAGGAATGGCGATATTTTTCCAAGTCAGGTTGGTGAATGGCTTGGAGGAGATCTTACGGGTGGTGGTGTTTCTACGTATCTGCTGCCCTTTGCCTTCTAGGTGATAGCAGTAATGGGTTTGAAAGGTGCTGTCTAAGGATCTTTGGTGAATTTCTGCAGTGCACCTTGTAGTTAGCACACCCTGCTATTCAGTGTTCATGGTGAGGGAGGTAACAGTCTTCTAACTGGGCGATTGAATTTGCTGTTCAATTAAGGATTTATAGGAGGTCTCCTAATGCTGCCAGGCCAATCAAAAGGGTCCGTAGCCCCACCAGGAGATGTGGGTACTGTTGAGGTTGATTAAAGACGGCAAGGGTGCCTCAATAAGGTCAACACAGAAGACTTTCAAAGCCAGTATAGGTGAAGGGAAAGCCCCTCTATTGGTGTTCAAGATTCTTACTGGGGAACAGTGGGTTCCCAATTGACATACTTTGTTTGTTGTTGAATGGCTTGTTAATAGTCCAAATTGCCATGACTTATGACCTCACCAAACTCACCATATAAATTAGCCATCAGGAAAACTTGATTTGGAAACCAGAGCAGGTTTTGGCGGGTTCAACTTACAGCTTGCTCTGAAGGATCTCCCTGTAGAACACCGGGCATCTTGGGCATGCTCCATGGACATCAGCCACATGCAACCCATGTCCATGGATATTGGCATCCATCATGTACCCTCATGGCATATCTCTGACTTAATTACAGGCTGCTTCTGTGCATCTGTGCTGCACCAGCTATTATTATTGTAATGCTGCAGCAAGGATAGTGTGTGCTCAGGGACATGCACCCAGCTCGTGGACTGGACCACACTGCATCTTCAGACTCTTTGCTTGCTATTGGTGCTCACTCACTCTAAGCTTACAAAAAACTTTGCCTTATGTTATGTGATTTGCCCCATCAGCCAGAGATAGCTGGCATATATTACTAGCCATTTAGCATAGACACAAGACAGGAAGCTTACCACTGTTGTCAGCAGATCTCAGTCCAGTCAAGGAAGATGGCCTTTACTCAGTGGATCCTGGCACACTAAGTTAATGACAGCTTCTGATACCAGTCCAACCCCTGCTTATGTCAGTCAGAGTCAACATCCTTTACCCATAAGGGGTGAGGAGTCAAATTATGGCTAGCACACTACCTGTCTTGACTCTTTCTGCCCTATTGTGGGCTGTTTCGTGGCAGATGTTACAGAAGACGAAAGTGGGTGACATGGCTATTACTGTTGATGCAGGTGGGGAGGTTTCCTAAGTATGTGAGTAGATTGCAGAGGGTATCAAGGATCAGTGGTGTGACAGTTTGGGGTGGGTAAGGGTGTGGGGGCAAGATGTTACATGCATCAGTGTAAGTGGTTGAGAATGAGCTGCAGCTGGGAGGTGGATGTAGTAGCAGAGATAGAGAGAGTGCCGAGTGTCGGAGAGAAATGGTGGCAAAGATGGTGGAGTTGAGAAGGACATTGATCTTCTTGTACATTGCAGGGCATTTCTTTAGATCACTGAGACTGTTTCTACATGGGTGGCAACCTCAGACAAGGCTGGCATGATCTGATGTATGGCCTCCAGTGCTACTCCTGTGGGAAGAGAGTCCCGCTGTGCACCACCTCATCCATTACCAATATTCTCCTGTTTCCATGTCTGGGACAAATATCAGGCACCATTCAGGGCAGCTGTGAACTAACCATGCTTGTCCAAGTGCACAAGGACCATTTAAACATGGTGTCAGCACCAGGGATGCTGGTCAATCCCAGGATCTCTGCTGGGATTGGTGAGTGTAAAGATGGGGTGGAAATGGTGTGTGATTCTTGTCGTGAGATGCAAACTGCAATTAAAGTAGCGAGTTTGGTAAAATACTGTGAGGAAACTTGCTCAGTCTTGTAGCAAGAATCACTCTACCAAACCTGACGTGACCTGCTTTTAGCCAAAAAAGGGTAAGATTCCATCCATTGCCTTTCTTTAGAAATCACTGTCTGCACAATTTAATTTGTTCCAAAACTTTCTCCCTAAATCCAAAGAAAAATGAATGTATATGGTTTAAATTTGCATCTAGATAGAACTCTTGTCTTGAGTGCTGAGAATCTTATAGTTCTGAAGGCTATTGATCCATGATTGGCAGACATGGATCTTTGAAACATTTATCAAGTTAGGATGACTTTCCTGCTCTTTCCTCATAGTTGAACAAATTTTCTCTTTTTAAATGTATATGCAACTTCCTGTAATTTATTTTAATTTTTTTTGCATAATACCTGCAGGGATCACAACTAGGTGTATAAAATAAATCTTGTAATGTTGCTAAAGGTCTAGCATAATTTCCTTGCTTTTGTACTCCATATCTTTATTTATAAAGTCAAGCATTCAGTATGCTTTTTTTAATCATCCTTATCAATTTGTTCTGCCAATTTGATGATTTGCATTTGTAAATCCCTTTTGTCTCTCTGCTCCTCTGCTCTCTTCTAGATTGGGCAATTTAATTTTTATCATTCGTCATTTCTCCCCAAAATGCATCGCCTCTCATCTCTCAACATGAAACATCAACTGTCATGTTTTACCAAAGAATGTGAATTACTGACTGACTCTGACTCTTCTGATTTTGCTTTGATTGCACTGAGATGCAACATTTTCAGATTATAGTATCATGTATTTAAAATGTACTGCCTCCTTCCATTTCTCACTTTCATTTCTTAACCAATAAAACAGCCGATTTAAGAAATAATTCCCATTTGTTAGCAGCAGTGTGTATTGAAACAATGTATATCCTCTGTGCTGAGTAAATGCTGAGGGTGAAGTCTGATGTTGGCTATTTATGTGAAGTGCAGGCATTCTTTTTTGCAGCAGATTCTGCTGCTAAATGAAGATCATTTCTGTTTAAATGTGTATTTTAACAACAGAAAATCACCAGATACACTTGACTGAACTTACTGCTTCTTTCACTGAGGTCACGTAATAAAGTTGTTGTGGTATTTTGGCTCCAGTAAGCATCATTGGTGTTTGTAGAAAATAGTGATGGTAAAGTAGGATGCTCGGCAGGCCAGAAAGAAACAGGCATGAAGAAAGGTGAATAGATGTGGAACGAATAAGAAATAGTGAACCAGAGCATTGAGGTAAAAGAGGATGCAAAGGCACCCAGAGATTGAGGGACAAACATTGAAGCACAGAGCAAACTATAAAAAGAACATGTTAGCAGAGGCTCTCTTCATTTTCTTGTCTTTATTGTACTGATTTTATATATCTTTGCTTTGTTTTGTAATGGTTTCCCCTCATTTCTTGATGCTGCAGCATTCATGCCACATTCTATTAGTCAACGTTCTGCAAATAAAGAAATGAAGAAACATTAGGTAATTAGACTGAATATAGAGTAGAGTGGGATCTATCCCTTTATAGCTGACTTTATCATTGATTCTATAACTCAAGTAAATGGAAAGTGTTCTTGTCCAATTAACTCAGTGCACCATATGCACTGGTGCAATACAACTAAAATTGAAATTAGAATAAATCTGGGTTGAAAAAATTGACATGTTCCCAACTCTTTTAATGTATATAAATTTACTTAACTGTATACCTAGTTCTGTGCACCTTTTTAATATAATTGCAACTTCTCAGCTTTGAGCTAGATGTTTGTTTATTATGGTATCTGTGATGAAATCCTCTCTGTTGTATCATTTTTTTTTTGACTAAGCAAGCCACCAATCTATGACTGGTGACATTGATGGAACAGGCATTTCCAAGTGTTGATATGTCAATATTCAATTTTGCCCAGCAATAGATGAGGTGCTTATTGCAATATTTTCAATAGGTCAGTCAGGACAGTTCAGGGTCAGTGAAAAGGAATTCAAAGGTTACAATTGGAGGGTGATTGAGAAGAACGCAGACTTCATGATAGGCAGTTTGTCCTGTTTATTTGAGGTTAAAGGCAACTGGTTTAACTTACTTTCCAATTCTATACATGATTTAGTAAGAAAAGCAACTAAACTGATTGGAGCAATGTGAATGAAAAGGTTAACCAACCTGATAAAAGAATTGGACAATAAGAGCATAAACAAATGTTTTTGGAGGAAATTGTGAAAGCTCAATTTTTGAAGCATCAGTGGAAAGACAATGAGTGTGTGCAAGCTGTGACACATTACTTGGATAAACTGGAGAATGGCTTGAGTAAAGAAGGCAAAATGTTCTCAGTGCAGATTTATTCATGATCTGAAATCATAAAATCTTAAGTGAACGAAGAAGGTGAGTTTGAAGCTGGTCAGAAAAAACATTTTTCATAGTGAACTTAAAACACTCACTGAAACCACTACCTTATCAACAGAGGAGAAAAATAAGAAAAATAGACATGTTCCTCTGTCTTCAAGTTGAGAAACCTATGGTAAAGTATCATGCGGTGTGGTGAATATTAATCTACATATGAAGAGGGATAGACCCAGCGGATGAGTGATGCTGAAGAGCAGATAGCGATGGAATGAGTAAGCCAATGTTGGTATTGTTGGTGAGTAAGGATAGGGGTAGGGTTTGATTAGGAGAAGTTGTCCTCAGTAATTTGTTGCTGTACTGCTGTGACTGTACTGTCCAGACTTGGTCTTTCCCATTATCCTCTTCAGCAACCTTTTCTTTATCTTGTTCCTGTGGTACTTGTTTCTGTGGTGTTTGCATTGCTTGGTCCTTTAAAACATCCTAATTGCCTAGCATGCAGCAGGCCACCATACATCTAAAGACTAACCAGGACTATAAAGCAGGACTTTGCTGAGTTAATTCAGGCACTAGAATATTTATAGGAAACCTTTAGTTTGCTAAGTTACTCCCTAAGGTTGAGTTTGATTCTCATATCTGTGTAGCTTTTGTGCCAGGGAGGGGAGGTAGGTTAAAATCAGGTCTGTTGTGCAGGGTTTTAAAATAATCATTTTTGTGAAATAGTTATTTGTCTAAATGTATTGCTTCACAGGTATTTATTGTATCTTCAAATTAAAAGGGACATATTTCATGGAAGGCTTCTTTGCTCTTTGTCAGATGCAGCTTCTCTGGGTGCATATACTTTACAAGGTAAGTCAGCAAACACAATATGATCCAGTTATACGTAATATTAGAATTAATGTAGGTAACAATCTCAAAAGTGGTTTTTTAAAGCCTTTTGATCAAATACTCTAAAGTGCTATTGATCCTTTCTTTGTTTTTTTTATTGTAACCATAGTTTGCATTTTATACACCTACTATTTATTTGTTGAATATCGTAGTTGTTGAAAATGAAAGAAAGTATATGAATTGATGTTGGCTGTTGCTTGGTACCACTCCTGCAAGGAAGTAAGTGCAAATAATCAAATTACCTCCAAAGCTAAGAGCAATGACAATGTGAAGACTTCCATTGCATAAATATTGTGCTACAGTACATTAAAATGATGATATAATAGTTACAAGACAGAACAAAACCACTTTTTGGTACATTGAATTCTTACTAAATCTCTGCAAGGACAATTTAGCTAGTCCCAGTGCCCTGCTCTTTCTCCATAGTCCTGAATTCATCTCCCCCTTCCCCCAACCCCGCTTCCCCGCAATGAACAACACTTCCCTACCTTGCTTCTGATAATTATCCAATTCCATTTTGAAAGCTATAATTAAATCTGTAGAGGCATTGCAATGGAGAATGTACTGGTTTCTGTTGACTGACAATTAACAGCTAAGCTTGTTTAAAAATTGAAAATTGCAGATTGACTGATTCATCAAGGCATTGCCTTAAGGAATGAATAAAAGACTGGCTGTCACCTATTTTGTTGCTGTTTAAACAGGCCCAATGTGTGCCCAGCACTAAAGTGATTCTGTATTTGCTACACAATCTTGAGGTTTGTTTCTTTTCCTTCATGGGATAAAGACCTCGCTAGCCAGGCCAGCATTTAGTGCCTATCCCTAAATACCTAGAGTCAGAAGTCAGATGACACCAGGTTGTAGTCCAACAGGCTTACTTGAAATCACAAGCTTTCGGAGCGCTGTTCTTTTATCAGCACCTCACTTGACGAAGGAGCAGTGCTCCAAATGCTTGTGATTTCAAATAAACCTGTTGGATATAACCTGGTGTCGTCTGACCTCTGACTTCGTCCACCCCAGTCCAACATCGGCACCTCCACATCAAAATTACCTAGAGGGCAGAGGAGTTATGCTGAGAAACGATTTAGGATTGCTGGTCAGACTTGCAGTATGACACATCTATGTCTACTGGAAACTAAATATATCAGTCGATAGGGCCCCATTCTTTCCCACAGAAAGAACACGTATGTAACGTTACAGATACCAAGCAGCTTTTCTGTGTGAAACAGCAATGCAACTTCATTGGGTTAAGACTTCTGCCGAGCCACTTGGAGAGTGTGAGCAACATTTTTACTTCCTTCTCATGGCAACCTGCAGTGAGTGATAAAGTTGCTGGCAGTTTTTTCCTGCTCACATGCAATTTATTGAGGCATTGGCCATGAGGGCAGGTACAAGGAATAACTAAATTTTGTGGATTCAGGAGTTGAATCAGTCAGCTCACAATTAATTAATTTATGATTGGAGCATTTAGAATTTTAATTTCAACTATTTTGCAGAAAATACTTTCATTTGTGAGTGAGTTCAGAATAGTGGCATGTGTAGTATGGGATGTAAGAGTCAGGAATAGATCCAAGGAAGAAACATTGCTATGCATGGAAAGTTGACTGTGGAATGCATTGCTGAATGGAGTGGCCACAACACAGCTCATTTGGCTTGATAAGTTATCTGATGGAAATGGGACTAGAGTGGGAGGGTGGCAGAGTGGAAAGAGGTAATTGGAGTTGTAAGAGGTTGTTTAAATTAGTAAAAGAAAAGAGCAGATTGTAGCTTTTTTTTTGTTGTTCTGTCTGCAAAGGCCACTTCCAGTCATCCCAACAGAAGTGACATCAGGCATAAAGTTGCAATGAGGAAGTGTGACAATGTATTATTATAATAAGAGGCAGTCGATAGGCACATGTTGTACAATGTCTTGGGCTGAATCTTCATCTGAACCTGTGCACTATTGGTGCTCCAACCCATATGTGATGTCACATGCTATTTTTGTCTTATTATACAAGGATCCGGTTTGCCGTGCCGTTTGTGAGCTGACTTAGAGTGCGTGAAGAGTGTGGGTCAGGTAGAAGGCCTGCCTTGGTTCTCAAACACAGTGCTCCAGCTGCAATTGTTGTTTAAGGTTCCCTAAATCTCACTCCTCCACTTCCTCAATGCTTGCACGCCAAATGTCAGCCCATGACCCTCAGATTTTTCATGCCTTCTTATGCCACCTCTATGCTTTTTATCTTTCCATGCTGCCTCAAAACCCCTTTGGCACCCCTATCACCTCGGTGTCCCCTTTGGCACCTCCATAGTCACTTAGGCATTGTTCTCAGATCCCACGTATTGTCTCCTTTCCTCCCGAGATCAACTCCAGTGAACACAATGATTACAGCCTCTTCTGTTAATGCAGTCTACTTTTTTTATTTATCACTCGGTCAGTTTAACACTACAGCATAAAATTATGTCAGGTTACAAAGAAGGCTGCCGCAGACTCACTACTGAGACTTGGGTACTACCTGCACGGGTGAGGAATAGCTGGCCAGACTTTAGTCGCTCAGCTCTGTCTGTCCTTCTCTGAACTCTGAGCTCAGGGTCCTGCTTCTGCAATGGTTGCTCCTAGGTTCTGCTGCTGACGTATTCCAAACACTTATTTTTATATGTTTTCCCTTGAAAGTTCCAGAAAGTTTGACTCTCTTCCAGGACTCTTGTAACTCTAAGATCATCCATCTAAGGGTCTGAAAGGCAAGGTACACCTATTTCATTGTCCTCCTTTAATTTAGTAGTCTTGATAACCATGATGGTAAAGCAGCCTTTTAGCAGCCCTTACCATGAGAATCCTGTTGAATGTGCATTGTTTGGTTCTGCCTTGCACAGTGGGCTGTTGTTTCTCCGAAGTTGGCTATTTTTTTCTCATCATCTTTTCAGATATTTAGCTGTTAACCATTTTTGTGGTAGTGTAGGAATTAAGATGCAACCATTCAGCTACACGTGCAATAACGCAGAATTGGCTATTCAGCCCTTTGAGCCTACTCCACAATTCAATATGACCATGGCTCATCCTGTATTTCAATGCCATATTCCTGCTTTGTCCCCACACCACTTAAAGTCTAAAAGAAAAATGTCTACTTCTTGACTTGGCCTCCTGTGGTAGAGAATTCCAATAAATAGAACTCCTACTCATATAAAACAAAAATAAAAAAATGGAATTTAGTCTCTTGAAAGTACAGCCAGGTTATGTGACTTTCAGATTGTTCTGTGCCTTCTGTTGAAAGTTCTGTCAGGAACACCTTCTCCATCTAATTCTTCTGTCAGAAATATTAACTAGTTGTGCTGTTGGTACCTTAGATTTAAATAGTGCTTTCTCTAAAACTTAGAGAAGACTGAGAGAGCTAGTGATTCTCTCTTTAGAGCTGAGAGTTGTTAACTCTTGCAGATGGTAGTTCACTCTCCTGTCTCTGCCCAACTGCCCAATCTTTTATACCCTTGATGACATATCAATATTCTTTACAATAGGATTGGTCCTATGTTGGCAAAACTATCAGACTTAAATTTAATTGTTTTTTGGTATCTGGGTACCTGGTTCAAATTAATTGGCTAAATTTAAAATTTGTTTTGATAACAAAACAAAACTGCTGCATGGCATGCTGACTGTACAGCCTTTCGATACAAACATTTCAATTCAGGAGCTCTGTGCACCTGCAAATGCACAAGCTGCAGCACATGATTATCCTTTTTGAATCTCTAAGCATGGAAAAAGCACATCTTTTAAAGGGACCATGCACTGTTTTCTCCCCTTCGCATTTTACAAACACCAATATTTTACAAACATCAAATTCTAACATCCTCACAGTCCACAAATACTATACCCAACTTCGCAACAGAGGATAGTCCTGCCATTCCTGGTGTCAGCTTTGTGAACCTCCACTGTACTTGGTTTATGTCAAGTATATCCTTTCCATAGGTGGGGAGACTAAAACTGTAGGCAGTACTTAAGGTGTTGTCTCACAAAGGTCCTGTAAAACTGTAGTAAGACACCCCTCCTTCTGAACTCAAATCCTCTTGTTAGGAGGGTCAATATACTATCTGCCTTACTAATTACTTGCTGTATATGCCTGTCTACTTTCATTGATTTGCTACTGTTTTTTCTGGCAGTCCTTGGGGAAGAAAATAAATCTATCATCTTTGGTGATGAGGTGCCTTCTTGAACCACTGCAGTCCATTTTCTGTAGGTAGTCTCAATGCCATTTGGGAAGGAGATCCCAGATTTTCACTCAGCAAGATGAGTGGGTAGCAATATATTTCCAGTCTGGATGGTGAGTGGCTTGGTTAGGAAGTTGAAGGTGGTAGTGTTCCATGGTATCTGCTGCTCTTGTTCTAGATGATAGTGGTTGTGGATTTGGAAGTTGCTGGTTATAATAAGTTTCCCTTTGTGTTCACTTTTGTAAATCCCATAGTTTTCGTTTGGACAATATTAAGGAAGTGTCCAGTGTTCGAAGCCTCTGATATTAATATTTTGATGGTCTGTCCACTTGCTGTTCTTACAACCTCAATAATTGTCAGTGTTTCAAAAAGGATATTTGTGGATGGGTGTTTTTGTGCCATTGTTTATAGATAGCTTATTAGTTATGCACATCAAACGCATTGAGTAAATGGACATGGAATCGTCTAGTATAACTGGGATGAAATTCCAGAGAGTTGGAATGGGCCATCTAACCAGCCCGCCTCAACATTCTTCAGTCTTGTGGCTACCAGCATCCGCTTCTGGAGTTAGCCAGCTTGGCTGTACCTGTCTCTAGAATACTTCACCCCCACCCCTTGGAGCAGAAGTTGGTTTCAATTGATACTGAGGTGAATTTGGGGAGTTGGGAAATTTTCTGATATGAACAACATGCCTTGGTAGCTAAAATTTGACCCTAGGCATTTCCAGTCTGCAAAAGTGCAGTTTGGTCAAAATTTGATTTCCATGAAACAGAAATGAATGGCTATTCGCACACCAAGGGACGCCTCTATATCCAGATGAAAATTTGGCTCCATGATTCTAAACATTTGCAGCAGTTCTGTCAATCACAAGCCATGTATCTCTGGCCACTTTTGAATGGATGCCCAATTAATGTAGACTGGAGTACTTGGAGTATCGTGCAGGGTTGGGGTATGGAGGGGAGATGAGTATTGATTTCCTGCAAATAAAGTGTGCTGCAAAGGATGCATTGAAAGAGGATTAAAACCTGCAATCGGATGGTCTGTGTACACAAGGGAGGGTAATTTTGACTTTGAGCAATAACGTGTTGTGAGCATTACACATGTCACTACATTTTCATGCTCATTAATCTCAATGAAAATACAAATTATGTATTTCTTTGGGATCTTTTTGAGTGACTCCTTTTAAGGGAGTATTTGGAATGGACAACAAATTGAAAGAAAACATGTGGTAAGTTGGATGATGATACTGATTACGTTTTGACATTAATGGATAAACAAGCAACAGTGGGTAGAGAATAATGGTAAGGCTGTGGTATTTATGATCAAACCAGTGACTATTGTCTGATAGAGCTTGCGGTTTTAATGGAAACTGTCCTTGCTACTGCATTTTTAGAAATCTTCAAGCAGAAAGAATATTGGTTTAGTTTATAATTTCATATTGTTGGTGGGCAAGCATTTCTCCATGGATCTGTTTTAATAGATGATCATGCAAACTTTATGTAAAAGATCATTTGTTTTCAAATGAATAATGAAAATATTGCAGTAATTAGCAGAGCACTTGTGTGTATGTGATGTGCTATGAGGTTTATTGCTGGAATGTCAATGGAATTTGCAATGGAATGAACAAAATAGTAGTTTAACAGTGCACTGGAATTCACTTATGAAAAACTTATACAACAACTGTAATAAAATGCATATCTCTTTAGAAATGTTCAACAATTACAATTCAATTGACATATTTTTCTCTTGGCAGCTGAGTTGGGTGATTATGAACCAGATTTACACCCAGAGGGATATGTTAGTGAAATTAAATTGTTTCCCAAGCAAACCCAAAAACTGGAAAGAAAAATGGAGCAGATTCACAAAAATGAACTAAGGTATTTTATGATGCTTTGAGTCTTTAATAGCCTTTTCCTTGGTAACTAAGTTTCTGTATTTTGGATTGTTCTCATTTTTATAATTATAGTAAAAATAATTTGCAAAAATTCTAACTTTTTACTGTGCATTTTAAGTAGTACCTTTTTATTGATGTGATATAGTTTGGCAGTGATACTGAACTGAAAATCGTTCTTTGCAAGTTTCCCTGTGCTGGAAGAAGAATTTTCTTCATAATAATACCTGCATGTAGTAGCAGAGAATTGCAACATTAGATTTATTTTTGACTTACTATTTCAGGAAATATCTTCATCAATAAAAACTGTGTAGCTATCATTGCCACACGTGCACAATAGTTATGATATTTTACTCGCTCCTTGGAAGGAAATTTTTTTCACAAAATCTATGCTAATCTGTTGTTGTAACCAGACCGTGGGCAAAGTTCCCCAAGTTATAACGGGTCCAGATTGGATAACCTAAATTACTACAAAAACAGAAGTTGCTGGAAAAGCTCAACGGGCCTGGCAGCATCTATGAAGATAAAGTCAGTTAACATTTCAGGTCTGGTGATCCTTCCTTAGAAGGGTCTCCAGATTTGGAATGTTAACTCTGATTTTGTCTTCACAGATGCTGCCAGACCTGCTGAGTTTTTCCAGAAATTTCTATTTTTATTCATGATTTATAGCATCTGCAGTTCTTTCGTTTTTTTAATCCAAATTGTTAAGCCTCCAGGCGAACAGGGATGAACTGGCCCCTCTTCTTTATTCACACAAGCCCTTGGTTGATTTCAGTGAAGTCAGTCTAAAAAGGATCCCTCCCCTGTGGATGCCTTTCTCTCAGACCAAATGAATCTATGTTTTAAAAGGAACCAATTTAACCAGGCTTTCTTGAATTAAAAAGGAGTGCATTTATTAGTTATTAAACATGAAAACAAGGGTGGCATGGTGGCTCAGTGGTTAGTACTGTTGCCTCACAGTGCCAAGAACCTAGGTTCGATTCCAGCCTTGGGTGACTGTCTGTGTGGAGTTTGCACATTCTCCCCGTGTCTGTGTGGGTTTCCTCTGGGTGCTCCGGTTTCCTCCCACAGTCCAAAGATATGCAGGCGAGGTGGATTGGCCATGCTAAATTTCCCATAGTATTCAGGGATGTGTAGATTAGATGGGTTATAGGGGGGTGGATCTGGGTGGAATGCTATGAGGGTCGGTGTGGACTTGTTGGGCTGAAGGGCCTGTTTCCACACTGTCGGGATTCTATGATGATGGTGATGAGAAATATTAACATAACACACAAGCACACAGATCAGGAATAAGAACTGAGTCCAAAGAAAGATAAAAGTTAGAAGATATATTGATTAGGTTTGTTGAAAAATGGTTAATAGAATGTTAATAGTTGAAGAGTTGTTTTTGGGATTCTTGGCTTATTCAAATTAGTTGAAATCATTTTGTCCTGTTTCCCTTTGGCAGTGGTTGGTTGGCTGCAATCAGAGCAAGGCAGTCCTTCTGTTGTCACACTTTATTTTTGACCAGTTAGCTAACTAGCCGTCTTCAAGTATTCAGTGTCAGGAACTACTTTTCCCTGCAATGCATGGGTGACTAATGGGTGGATTGTTGAATTAGACCTTCACAGCACATGAATGCAGGCCAGCACTTGGGTGTTTCAGTTCACTTCTTCCACTAGCACCCTCTTTCCGTTAGTGCAGACAAATGAGGGTTACAGCAGATTATAATGTGTTTCTTTCATGTATTTCTAGAAGGGCAAAATGCAAAAAATATCTACAGGAAATGGCTTTCTGCTGCAAAGGGGAAATAGTCATCTCTTCCTGTTTGTAGTTGCCCTGATACTCTGCAGATTTGATATTCCATAAGTCCCACACAGGACTTTGCGAGACAGTGTTTGAATTTGCATTTGCAGTCTTTTTTTTTTTTGTCCGAAACTTTTTTAAAAAATGCATTCCGGAATTGAAATCTAAAGGTGTCCATAGTACTCTAGGGTTCTGATCTGTTGTCATTACACTCTTATGCTATGTGTCAGCATTATAGATGCGGTTATCTACTTCAGAAAAATTAGTATAATTAAGAGAGATAATCTATTAAGATTTGCTTTGCAACTGGTGGCAAAGGTGCACCTAGTTGTACCAATCAAAGATTAACAGCGGAAGAGTAGATGAATTCCCAAAAGGTATGAACCACAAAAGAAGACCGCTTAAAGACAGATTCAACAAAGTTGTCAATTAGAATTCATGTTGTTTAGGCGGAACCCTACAGATCACTGTGAACAGATGCAGATAAAACAAACACGTTTGTGTGATTTTTCAGATCCAGAGCTCGCAAAAAGAATTGTTGAATTGATGATCACATCCATCCACCACCCATTCAGGCTGCGTCTATTGTTCGAACTTTAGCAAAAAAAAACACCGAGACTTCACAAGATGTTTACTTTGTTGTCTTTGGAGCAGACTGCTTGGTGCCTCTGTATCAAACTTTCTTCATTTTAAAAAAAAAAAAGAAAAAACTACATCTCTCAAAGCCATAGTATCGTCACAAGTCTTTAGGGGATACCTCCTCTCAGCTTACAAAGATGGATGAGGAACTGAAAGAAAAAGAAAAGAATCAGGAAAAACTAAAACTCCACATCAAAAGAAAATATGCCAGGTTACAGGGAGATCTGGAGCAATGTGTACATACGAGATCAGGTTTAGCAGGACCAGCTATAGAAACATTGGGCAGAATCTTTCCAGTTCTTTGGCATCTAACATGTACCAGCCTCACAACATCATCATGGTACATCTTTGACTCACTTATGGTATGGTCCTGTTCTTCAGTGTTATAGTTTGGAGCACACCAGCACCTTTCATTGTAATGTTGCTGCAAGGATGCTTTGCAAACGGGGACGTGCACCCCTCTCCTGGTTTCAGCCAAGGTGCATCTCTGGGGTTGCTTGCCTGTTCTCTTAACGCTTACTCACTTTGTACCAACTTCAGAGCGTCACTGTGTTACCTTTTTATGCCCCCTTAGCCACACCTTAAAGGCTTGTAGTGCTGCTACCTTGACTTGCCTTTTAGTGCAGACACAAAACCAGACAGCTTGTTATGGTTTTCCACAGTCATTAGCCAGGGGAGTGGACACGTTGCTGTATGTACTGTCAATCTCACACCTACAGCATGCGCCAGCAGCAAGCACACGACATGAGCTTGAACCAAATGGCCATATTCCAAAATCGACAGGGATTTGTCAAGTCCTCAGTCCAATCAAGGGTGGCATACATCAGTGAGTTAGTTCCCATATAATCAGCCAAGGGCTTGGGCATGGTCAGTCATCTGCTTAGGGCAATTGGGGTCCAGTTGTCCATCTAATTATAGTCTTGGGAGTGGGCTATGGTCAGACCTGCAAGCAGTTAGATGTGTGGTTCATCAGTCAGGGAGCTGCGCAGAGTCCATCAGTTGAGACTGTTATTAGTTGGGGGTGTGGAGGGGTGTTAATCCTGGGGCCTGAGTGGAATAAAAGTCAGGAGGGTTTACCAGGGGATGCAAAGATAGTATGGAAGTGGGGGAACTCAATTCCAGGAATTAGAGATAGCAATCTGGGGTATAGATGGGATAGGGATGGTGGAAGGGAATATTCATCATATTAGAAGGGGAGATGACAGAGCATTCGTGATCACCTTCACTGTGGCCTCAGTGAAAGGTGCCTCATCATGATGGGAGACAGGATTCAGGGGTAAGATGAAAGTTGTGGTCATAATGCCAGGTGGTGATTGGCAACAAATGGGGGACCAGTACTGTCTAGGAAGTTCCAGTAGAAAGGGGCTTGGAGGTTTGAAGGGGTGGGTGGGGTCTTTGCTTACCAAGCTGAGCTTGCAAACCCTCATATAAAGTGCAACCTGCATGGTTTTCCATGTTCTTTCACCACATGAATGGAAAATGGTTGCAAACACACCTGGAGTGTGCAGATTCGGTGTTCATTTTCTGTCCCACCCATCAGCTTCACCTCTGGATGGGAGGCCCTTTGATGGTATTGTACCTCGATCATGCACTTGCAGAATACAGATTGTAATCATGTCACTGGTGTATGCAGTATACAGCTGTGTAGGGTTGGAAATGCTGGTTAGAAGCAACCTTGGCCATGTCATTGACCATTTCAGATTAAAGGTATACATCTCCAGGAAGCATAAGTAATCACTGGTGACCTTAAAAGTAAAACCCTAAAGGCAAAAAAGTGCAAAGTTAATGCCAGACCACAAGCTGCAGGGCATGGAACTGATTTCCTTTCATCTTGAACTGTGAATATAATGTAACATGCTCCTACATATAATGATGGCTTTCAGAGATGATGTAGGACTTGGAGGACAAGGTCTCAGAATTCCTGCAGAATTTACAATCGCCTGTCTCTTTGTGACACAACAGCTGATACATTCATAAGAATACAGTGCAGTGTCAAAGTACCATGTAAAGACATTCTACGTCCCTCCATGCCAGAGTGTTCTATGTCCCACTATTTGGAACAGTATCGTAAATTGCCATTTATAAGTGATGTGAATGCTGACTGCTCACGTTACTGAGGACCTGTTCTGTTTCTTCTGTTCCTTACAAAGGTTCATTGCAAATATGACTGATGGATCCAGCCACAGCATGAGATACCATCACTGTTGCTGCAATGCAACAAAGGTGCAGAAAAATGGAGGAGCAGCAGATCCACTGGCAAGCAGAGGATTAGCAGCAACCTCCACAAGAGGACAACGCTGAAGTTTCCTTTTGGGTTGTGATGGAGATACATGATGCCCAGAGACTTTAGCCCTTCATAATATTTCCTCCAGATGAGTGAATTGCAGCGTTTGTGCTGACTGCAGATGTCCTGAGACAGCCACAGAAATATGAGGTTCTGGAGTGGGTCCTGCAACATGAAGAAATACATGGCAGTCCTTTCCTGCTGGCCATTGAGATGATAGTTGCACTGAACTCTTATGCAACTGGCATCTTCCAAGGAACCCATAAAGACTTGTGCAG